GATTAGAAATGACATAAAATATATTTATATTGTTAAAAAGGGATTGGTGTGTTTTTAAACATTTTTTAAAGTCTCTTATGCTCACTAAGAATGCATTTCTGTTGGGAAGTATCAATATAAAATTATTATTTTATTAGAATATATTTTCAAATGTAATTTATTTCTGTGATCAAAGCTGAATTTTCAGCATCATTACTCCAGTCTTCAGTGTCACACGATCCTTCAGAAATCATTCTAATATGCTGATTTTCTGCTCAAGAAACATTTCTTATTAATATCAATGGTAAAAACTGTTTTGCTGCTTCATATTTTTGTGGAAACCGTGACACATTTCCTCAGGATTATTTGATGAATAGAAGGTTCAAAAGAACAGAATTTATTTGAAAAATAAATCTTTTGTAATATTATAAAAGTCTTTACTCTCTGTTTTGATCAAGTTAATGCATCCTTGCTGAATAAAAGTAATACTTTCTTTAACGCTGATAATTTGAGCACATCTCCATTAACCACACTGAAGTATTTCCACACATGCTGAGCAACTAAAGATTTTGAATTTCCTCGCTTTACAGGGAAAGAAACGCACACATGAAGGAACCATCTGCATCAAGCTTTTCTTTCAGTAAACAGTGCATTCTCTTATATCATCACATTTTATGGCCTGTTTATCAGTGTAACCCAAACTCGGCTGGAAACTAATTCTCAGCTGAAAACAAGAGAGAAGCACCATTACGGCTGAGTAATTCAGGTATCCAAGTAAAAGTATGTCCATCACTATGACAACAGAGACAGAGAATGAGTGAGAAGGAAAGGTGAAACAAGGACAGAAATCCCCAGAGTCTGACCTGAGATGACACACGCTGAGTTAATAATTCATCATCAACATGTGTGGACTCATCACATAAGCTTTCTGTCATGCAGAGTGCAGTAAATATTTCAGTTCGCGGAACCCTAAAACATTATTTATGCATAGGACGGGCGCTTCGGTCCTATAGCCTCCTCCGTTTTCTTAACGTTAAATGCACACCGGCTTGACTGTAAATCAGAGGCGTTTTGTTCACTTTGTTTTGTCGGCTTGTAAACAATAGCCTCCACGAAACAGCAAATGTCAAAACCCTGTTTAACATTCAGTTCAGAAATAAAAAAGGATTTTTTTTGCATTACTGAACTTCATTAGTGTGCCAAAAACACTACATTTCATGATTTATTGACTGCACTGATAAGGATTTGGTATTTAAAAAATGTTAAGAAAAGCAAATCGCTTCCAAGAAGCAGAGCTACTGCAAGTTTCATGTTTCATAAATTATGTGCTAAATCTGAAGACTTAGTTCACACCAAAATAAAAATGGACATTAATTAGTCATCTTATAAAACAATATGGCACAAACACAAAATAAGATGTGAGGCTTGTTCTAGTATTATTTACTGTATATACTATGATAGTATTTAATAATATTTCAAATTAGCTTTTAAGCTTTTAGTTCATTTAAATTAGCATTCAAAAATGATCAATATGCCTCCACATTTTTCCCCATGTTGATTTTAGTCCCCATCACTTAAGCAGGGATATATAAACATGCATATTAATTAAATTAATTATTTTTACATTTTCAGTTTAATCTCAGTTTAAGTTTTAGTGATATTGTGTGCATTTGTCGTTTTTTAATACTTGTATTTAGCTAAGTAATTAAACTTTAATTTTATTATTTTAGTTTTAGTAATTTTAGTGCTTATAGTGTTCTAATAATTAACTAAAACTAACTAAAAATAATTTTTGTTAGCTAAAATAAAGCTTACATAAAACAGAATATTAATATTAGATGTAAATATTAAACTTAAAAAAAGGCTGAAACATTCCAAATTCCAGCGTTTGCCTTGGCAACTAAACAGATTAAAATAAATTTAAGTTTAAAAGAATAGCTCACCCAAAAATGACAATTTGTTGAAAATTTACTTTTTTTGTTTCTTCGTGGGAACAGATTTGGAGAAATGTAACATGTCTTGAGAAGGAAAAATCTTTGTGTTTGTAAGGCATTTTTACGTTAAGCTGTTGCTATTATGGATATGAGTCCATAATAACGCGTCCTCCAGTGAAAAATCCCATCCCGTTGTCTCACATCAAAATCCACCAACATGCTTGTTTAGAACTGTTTTTGATTGTGCATATTTCTCTCCTTATTCAGACGAGATTACCTTTTCACTGGAGAAAGCAATATTATAGACAGAGGACTTGTATTTTAGCTGGAAGCGATGGTTTGAAATTAAAAACATCTTAATAATGGATTTGTTTCTTACAAACAAGCAGCTTTTCACTTCACGAGATCTTAATTGATGGACTGGAGTGGTGTGGATTACTTGTGGATTATTGTTATGTTTTTATCAGCTGTTTGGACTCTCATTTCTGACGGCACCCATTCACTGCAGAAGATCCATTGGTGAGCAAGTGATGTGATGCTACATTTCTTCAAATCTGTTCCCATGAAGAAACAAACTCATCTACATCTTGGATGGCCTGAGGGAGAGTACACTTTTTGGCACTTTACATTTTTTGGTAACTGCTCCTTTAATGGTGATGAACCCTGTTGTGTCGAATTCATTCATGCAGTTTGATGACTCTAGTTTAAAAATGTCCCGTCAAGTTTTTAGGGTGAAAGAAAGGACAGGGGTGTCAAGAGGAATAAACTCCTACATGATGCAGAATGAGTATCCTGAGTCAGTATGATTTCAAATCATGAGCTCAAATGTAATTAAATGTTTGGAAAAAGAATTTGGGTCACAGTGGGAGTTTTGCAAAATGACAGACTGGTAACAATTAATCATTGATCACATCTGAATCTGAACCATTATATGGCTCGAGAAGATCTTATTTATTGGATTGTACTAATTTAAATATCATGACATCAATCATCACTTCAGTCAACTGCACTTGTATTATTCTGAAAATCTGTGGAATCTATAGGCCTGTGTGCATAAGATCTGTAATTATGATTTAATGGTGGAACTCGGCTTACAGCACACCAGGGCTTTGTGCCAAATGTCTGGAAAGCGAGATATTAATTATGCTCAGAATCTGGCATAAAAAATAAAACTCAACTTGAGTAGTGTGCAGTTCATTTAAATTAGTAGAACTATGCCTCCACATTTTTTCCCATGTTGATTTTAGTCCCCACCACTTAAGCAGTGATATATAAACATGCATATTAAAGGGGTCATGTGATGCGATTTCAAGTTTTCCTTTCTCTTTGGAGTGTTACAAGCTGATTGTGCATAGATAAGATCCCTGAAGTTGCAAAGACTAAAGTCTCAAAACCAAAGAAATATTCTTTATCAAAGTTAAGACTCTGCCACGCCCCCCCAAAACGGCTGGTTCTAACACGGCCCCCACATATCTACCTCACTATGTGGAAATATTAGCATAATGCCGCCCAAATGTGCACGCAAAGAAAGAAGGCGTGGTTTCAGTAGCCGCAGTTAGTGTTGAAGCAGCCATGTCAGGGAGACGCTGTGTGTTTCTAGGCGAAAGCAAAATCACTTTATTTGGCCTTCTGAAAGTAGATGCATTTAGGTATTTAAGATTACTTACAACAGAATAGCAATGCATTTTATGGACGACCGTTTCGTGAAACTAGGAGAGGAGGTAATTCTGACTTTGCTATGACAATCTGCGCTTCTGAATCAGTTACTGTTTTGTTATTAGTTTAAGTATTTGCTATTGATTAACCGTGGCTTGTGTACTGCAAACACATACCAGCTTCATCACTGTGTCTGTCACGCAACTCTGTTCCCCTTTCAGGCCTGAACTGATGGTAAAATTAATGAAATTATTTACTGTCTTTACATTTATTTTGAAAGATGAAGCTCACAATTATGGTAAGGGGCGTTACATTTCCGACGAGTGCTTGCGGTGTTCGGCCAATCACAATGCACTGGGTCAGCTGGCCAATCAGAGCAGACTGCGCTTGTCGGAAGGAGGGACTTTGTAGAAAACAAAGCGTTTGAGAGAGGCGGGGCATAGAGCACTACAATAATGTACAGTATTTGAAAAATAATGTGTTTTTTGAGCATGTCAACATATTCTGTTACACCAAATACACAAAATAATAATCTTTAAAAAAGCATCATATGACCCCTTTAAAAAAAATAATAATAATATCTAAATATATATATTTTTTTCCCCCAGTAAAATATCTAAACCTTCTTAAATCAAGCTACTTTTACCTGAGAAGCAAAATTACATTAAAAATATTTAAAATTAGGTGACTTTATGCTTAAAACAATAATTCCCTTTGAGTTTTTTCCCCCCCTCTTGATTTATGTGTAAATTCACTTAATTTTAGATGTTGTTTTTTTACACCTTTTAAAATTTTTCGTAATGCCTTATGTAATTTAGCTTCTTACATAAATGTATCTTGATTTAAGAATGTTTGAATATTTGCTAATAAAATGGTTGTTAAAATGATTTTTGAACATAATGTGCCTGTTTACATTTCAGTTTTGACTTGGAAGGGAGCACATACTCTGCTATTATCCAGGGTTGTTATTGTAAACTAAAACTATTAAATTATTGAATAAACTATTCAATTATTAAATAAGCTAAATAAAATGAATTTAAACTAAATTAATTAAAATATAAATATTAGATGAAAACCTTAAACCTAGAAATATTGCCTTGGCACACAACTAAAATAAGAAGAATAAGTTGAAGTACTAAAACTGAAATACTAAAACAAAATGATATTTAATAAATACATTTTAGTATTAAATAAATGCTCAAATAAAACAAATTCAAACTAAAATAAATTTAAGCTAAATAAAAATATTACAGAAAAACATAAGCTACTCAAAATTACAAAAGCACATAGAATTAATAAAACTTAAAAAATTAAATAAAAATAAATAAAAATAAAAGCTCATTCAAAATATTATTAAATACTATAACAACATATAAATAGTATTAAAATAACACTGAAAATGACACTATATGGTCTCAAACCACAACTCACCAGGTGCACGTACGGAACGAAGTATCCCAGAACTGCCGTGGCGACGCCGAACGCCCAAACCCGATAGGTCAGCACACCAAACACTCGTACGTTAAAGTACTTCCTGATTTTGGCCAGGCCCTTCTGCCACCTGCTCGCTGACTCCAGGCTGGACGGGGGACCTCCGTCCATTCCCATGCCTGGCATCGGGCACATCCCACTGGGCATGAGTGGTTTGAAGGTGAGGGCCAGCAGCGACTGGACCAGCATGAAGATACTGAGGATCTGGAAGGTTCTGGGAAGGCCCAGCGGTCCCACCACTTTCTTGAGCAGCACAGGGAGCCCCATAGAAAAGAGGCTGCTGCCTGCCGTCACCACGCCATTGGCCAAACCCAGTCTCTGTCGAAAATAATGCCCCAGGATCACCAGAGACGGCTGGAATGCGAATGAGGATCCGCAGCCGAACAGTATCCCGTATGTGAAGTATCGAAGACCCAGTGTGCTGAGGAGAGAAGACAAGATGTGAATGTGATAAAAGGAAAATGGATAAAAGAACAATGCTGATGAAAGGTGCAATTTTAGTATCATACTATTGTAGTTATATTATCATACTATAATAATATGTTGTTATTATTATATTACTATTATAATACTATAGCTTTTGTTCATATTTTAAATTAATTTTATTTTTATTTTTTTATCTTTCCTTCTAAATTTGTTAATTTTGTTGGGCATTTTCAACATTTTTATTAGTTTTGTGGGGGTAGGGGGTTATATATCTATATAGTTTTTATTAAAGGGGGGGGGGGGGGGGGTGATTTACACTGCTAAAGAGTTTGATTCTCATGCTAAACATGACCAAAGTCTCAAAAAACGAGTTGGACGTGTCAAAGACACTCCTTCAGAGTTCGTATAATTTTCAAAAATGTTTTTTTTTCGAGTATGGCCCTTCATGACATCATATAGGGCGGAATTCCTTTTATGTGCTCTTCTTCCAGAACAGCGCGCGTGCACAGCAACCAGACTGTTTTCAGAGAGAAGCATAAAGCTGTATCTGTCTCTTATAAATCTGATAAAACTAAAGACTCTTTGGAGATATGAAGGAAACAATACTACTCTATAGGTAGTCAAGATTAACATGACATTGACAGAAACTGTGTGTGTGTGTTACGTCCCCTTTAAGTTTAAGTGTATTGTTTTGTCATTTCTATTAGTCAGTTATTTTTTAAATATGTCAATATAGTTTTTTTAAGTTTTAGTTTAAGTTTATTGTTGTGTTTTGGCATTTTCATTAGTTTGTTTTCAATTTAAAATAAATCTATAGTTTTTATTAGGTTTTAGATTTAGTTTATTTCGTTTTTAGTTCTATTTTAGTTTTTTTTTCTACTTAACGGAAAAAAAAAAGTTGCTTTGCTAACTAGCAACTAGATAAATAAAACGTTTAAGGTTTTTTTATGTATATTTTATTTTATTTCAGTCAACATTTATCTTATTTCAATAAACAAAAATATATTTTTTAATGGTTTTAGCTTTAGTTTTTAGTGAACAACAATAAGCCTGCAGTTTACTTGAAAGTATATTATTAAAAATCTGTATTTGCAGATAATATAACATAAATAGAAAAAAAGGCCATTTAAGTGTACTTATAACAAGTCCTAATTAAGTTAGTCAAAGAAAGCACTATAAAACTCATATTTCATTTAAGTTTAAACTAAATACATTTACATTTAATTGCTATTAATTTAAGTGTCTGAAAACATTACATTCAATTTGCGCTTAAGTATATTCTTTTAAAGTTTATTATTTCCGTAAAAAGCACTCTTTTAAAAAGTAAGGTTTTTCTCAAGTGTCCATAAGCAACTTCTGCAAGATGGCTGCACAAGAAATAAAGTCATACAAGGTGCAGGACTGATTTTTACATTTTTACAGCAGAACTGTTGAACTTTCATGTTTTTCTCTCCTTATTTAAACTAAAGCATTTCACTTCCAAATGACCTGTGACACCTGAAGCCAGAGAATGTGCAACACATGGCCAGCAGGACACGTTATTTGCTTAATGACCAAACAGACGTTAGTGTAAATGATGGATTGTGAGATGGAAGAGAGAAGCTCGACCCTGCAGGAGACACTTGTGTTCAAAGCCTGAGGAAAGGAGGGAAATAGTTTGTTTGTTTGTGTGTGTGTGTGTGTGTGTGTGTGTGTGTGTGTTTGCATGCACTTGTTAGTGTTTGTTGAGCGTTTCAGGTTCTAAACGCAGCAGGACCAGGGTGACCGTTTGTTCCAACCTTTTCTAACAACAGCAAGAGCTTTTTTTTTTGCTTGGAATAAAATCAGCACTCTTTCCAACTGCACAAGGATCTCAGAGAGAAGGCACTGTGAGAAAACAATGAGAAGGAAAAGAATGAAAGAAAGGAGGGAAGAGAAAGGAAGCAAAGATTACATAAATGTTCTGTCGTACAGGTCTTGCTCTCGAACGTGTTTGTTTTTTCCTTTTGTTTAAAAGACTGTCAGCGTGATTAAGTAACCTTTTATATAAGCACACTTAAGGAGGCTGAGTGATTTGTCCGCCCCCATCACTTCAACCACAACATCTCTACAAAACCCAGCCTTCAAAGACATGAATGCACAAAATGAGTGACAGGAGATATTATTGATTCAGATCTTACACACGTAAAAGAGAAACAAAGAATTGTTTTGCAGAAAAATTTTGTTCTTGGAAAAAGGCAGAAGAAAAAAAATAATATAATAATATTTAACAGAAAAATATTGTTTTTTTTCTTCAATAAATGCACAAGAAAAATCATAACAATAGTTATATAAAATAGAAAAAATAATTAATAAATATAGAAAAAATACTGTTTGGGGAAAATTTTGATTGATTTTATTTAGTTCTGTGTGTATATTTATGGTATATTCTGTATATTCAACAGTTAGGAACTTAATCGTTTTTTAATGCATGTATCTTAATTTTTTTTACTTTCTGAGACTTAGCAAATGTGCAAAATGTTCAGCACACTGTGGTGCTCATACTGTACATCTGGGGCGAGTGAAAGTTTACACTTTATGCATGCCAGAAGATAACAAAGACACTTCAAAGTAAAGGGAAACAGATTCCCACAAATATATAGACTACAAAGACTGAACTATATGTGCTGCAGTTGTGTATGTCATGTACAAGTTAAAGGGGTCATATGATGCGATTTCAATTTTTCCTTTCTCTTTGGAGTGTTACAAGCTCTTGGTGCATAAAGAAGATCTGTAAAGTTGCAAAGACTAAAGTCTCAAATCCAAAGAGATATTCTTTATAAAAGTTAAGAGTCAGCCACACCCCCCTAAAACGGCTCGTTCTAACACGCCCCCACATGTCTACATCACAATATGGGAAGATTTGCATAACGCCGCCCAAATGTTCACGCAAAGAAAGAAGGCGTAACTTTTATTCTCGATGTAGAATTGCCGCCGCCGTCATGTCGTGAAGACGCTGTGTTTCGTTGTGAAAGCGAAACTACTTTGCTTGGCCTTCCAAAAGAGAATGATATCTGCTTCGTCATGCCTGGAGCTGATCCGTGCTGGTCGCTGAGGAAATACATCAACTTTACACTGTGGATCACCGGATCGCCTTTCGCCGCGGACGAAGCGGAGTCCAGCCCGTGTGGTTGCCGCAAGCCTCCTTCATCGAATCCGCCGGCCACGCCGTTCTCAAGCCCACCGCCTCTGCTCACTCAAGCCCCCAAAAGACAGTATACATCATTATAATCCATAATTATGTCCCCAATGAATTCCTCGTTTATAATGGGTTTTCATGTTTTTGAATCATCGCTCCGGCCTGACAAGGCATCACAGTATGTGAGGGGCGTAACATTTCCGTCACACACTTGAGGTACTTGGCCAATCATAACGCACTGGATAGCTGGCCAATCACAGCACACCTTGCTTTTCAGACCGATGAGCTTTGTAAAAATTGACGCGTTTCAGAAAGGCGGGGCATAGAGGAGAAACAATAATGTACAGTATGTGGAAAATAATGTTTTTTTTTACCTTAAACCGCATAAACACATTGCATTACACCAAATACACAAAATAATGTTCTTTTTAGCAACATCATATGACCCCTTTAACTCAAATTAAGTTTAGAAACATCTGCATTGAGCAGTTCAAGGACAGATGCTGTAACAGGGCTCGACAATAAGGGTTGCCCGATGGCCCGGGGCCAGCGTGAAAGATGTTCTGGACAACTGACGGATTTGTCACTGGTCTGATCTGGCCACTGCTGCGTCTTCACGAAAGTTTATCATTTGCATGTGTTTGTAAGCCTTGATAATTTAAACATTTAAGTGATTTTAAAGCATTCAAGCGCAAGATGACAACTCGCACACAGAGTCGCAGACAACACCGAATTGAGTTCTCTTTTGCGACTACTTGTGCTTTAACAGACAAATACACTTGGCCAATTTGAACATTCAAGCAATTCAAAAGCATTCAAGCTCAAGAAGATGCAAATAACAACTGATTCAGTGTCTTCTGTGAGCACAGCGTACATTCACAGAGCTGCGTCTCAGGCATCGCATAAGCCCCAGATTTTCTTTCCGCGTCTTGCACTTGAACAAACAAATACATACAAAAGTATGTCAAAATATCCGTCTTGGCAAATATCCTCGAAAACAATCTGTTATGTCTTTAAGTGAACTTAAACAGTGACGGTGCTGGATGAGCATTCTGGATAAAATAAATGTGTTTTGGTAAGGCTGAAAGAATTAAAGTAAATCTAAAATTCCAATGCAGGGTCAGTTTCAGGAAATGATGTTATTGTGTGTCACATTACCAAGAACAGTCACATTATTTGACTGATTTCATTTTGTTCTGTGTGTATAGTTATTTGTCAGTTCTGTTCAAAATGTATGAAATAAATCAAAATAATAAATATTTTACATTAAGTTATTGTTTTTGGAAAAATGTGCATGACAAAAAACATACAAAAATAAATATAAAAATATCATATAATAAAAAATATTTTATAGGAAAAAAAAAAATATATATATATATTTTTTTTTTTTTTTTTTTTTTTTTTTTTTTTTCATTTTATTTTCGGAAGCGTACGTGCATATAATTTCCGAATGGACTGTGAAAATGCTAAAGTAACACGAAAAAAACTAAACAATTTACAAATGTTACAAAAGAAAAAGTAAGAAAAAAAGAAGGCATTTACGTTGCGAATGAACTGGTGAGAAGACCGAGGAAGGCCACAAATGCTCCGCAGACGGCTGTCTTCCGGCATCCGAAGTGATCGGTGAACATACTGACCACCGGAGAGCAGAAAAATATCATCCCCATCGCCAGAGCACCAACCCATGCTGGACAAAGAAAGAGAAAAAGATTTGATCAATAAATTATGAAATACATTGTCCTGATTTTCCATTTGCCAAACTCACTGCCACGATGCTGAGGTGTTCTGGGAGGTTGGAACATTGCTGTCATAGATAAGTATATACATATCTATAGTTGCTTTTCTGTTGCTACTGTAGGTCGTTCTGAGAATTTTTAGCGCATTGCTATATAGTTGCTAGGTGTTTTTTACTGGCATCAAGTCTCATGTGATGAATGTGGAACAACACCAACAATTTCCTCCAACAATTTTGTATCGATCTTGAAGACGTCCACGAACATATCGTAGAGATTGTGTCCCGTTTGTGCCCACCTTGGCAAGTATTCCTGTAAATACATTCGCTTATGCCTTACAGTTATATTAGATATTAGATCCATCTTAAAGTGACAGCAGCCTAATAATGCCCGTGTCATTAATGTTAATCAAACAATAAAAGACAAAGAGAAAATCTGCTTCACATGCTTCACAAAATCACATTTGTAGCTTTATATTTCATTCATACAGTAGCTGTAAATGAAGTAAACGGTACAAAGCACTGTTTACTTCATTTGTATCTTTGTTCTGTAGTATTAATTTAATATGTTTTATTGCTTGTCATTTGTTTCTTTGTTGTTTACTTGAGACCTTTAGTTTTACTGCTCAGTAACTTGCAAAATAGTCTTAAAAAACAACATTTTGATAAGATTGTGATCCTTCCTGAAGAAACTGCTATATATTTTTGCCATATCGCCCACCCCGAACACAAACAGTATATTTTACACATGCATGCACCCAAACAGACGTTCTTTGTTCACCCAAATAATTCTGCAAAGAGACACAGATGAAAGTCCATCATCTCTGTATTTAGAGCACTGGCCAGTTACAATAGATGTCAAACACACTGCATGTTTTTCATGGTTCAAAGGTAGTTTAGTGTCTGCACAGTATGTCTGGATTCTAAGGACACTGGTTCAATATTTAACGCTGATCTCTCTCTTTTCTGTGTGTGTGTGTGTGTGTGTGAGAGAGAGCCCTTTTCAGCGACTCATTCTTGGCTGAGGTTCAGTGGAAATGTGGCCCCACGATTCCAGAGAGGAAGCGGTACATTAACAAACCAAGCAAATGAGTGTTTATCCATATTTTGTAGAAGAACACAAGGTCAGGGTTTACATAAGGCCCTTCCGTCTCCCGCTGGCTTGTGGAGTCAAACGGGACGTATGTTTTCCACAGGTTTCACAGTCAGGGTTTTGTTTGTTGTTTTGTTAGCTTTGTAAATGACCAATCTTACTGTGATGTTCAGTTGGAACTATGAGTTCGGAACATTAGAACAATGCAAAAAGTCTCTGTTTAGGAATAGAGTGTTCTCGAAGACCAGGTTCTAACAGCTCGGATAAAAGATCATGCAGAAAATGTGAGGTGGATAAAGTCTCTCTCTCTCTCTCTCTCTCTGTCTGTGTGTGTGAGTCTGAGGCCATGTTTGAAGGATTAAACATTCCAGTGACTATTAGGAATGGATTACCTTACTTCTCCAAGAAAAAAAAATCCACACAGAAAGCAGAAAATATCAGAGGCTTTTAGTTTTAACCCATCATAAATAATGCACAGCTAACAGCAAAACAAAAAAGAAAAGGAGTCTGATGCAAATGTTTGGACTCGAAGAGAGGGTGGTGGAATTGAACCTGAACTGGTTTGGACCAAACAACAGAGGGCCTGGACAGTGTTTGCTTATAATATTCAGAAACATATCTCATTGTTCTGATCTTAAATCTTTCATTTTGAATTTATGAAAGCAATCCCAATGGATTCAGCTGTTTTGCTGGAGGAAAAAAATCAAAATGAGTAAAAGCAGAATAAAGAGAAACTTGTATGTCAGGTAATTATATACTTATAATGATGAAGTTGCAATTTAGTACATTTAAAATATACAAACAATATTGTAATATCGAATAACATAGTTAATTTAAATCAAGTATTTACATATGCTTCGTAAGTCAACTCATCAAAAGAAATACTTTTTAAAGCATGACTAAAGATTTAAAAAATCATGATTTAAAATGTACTTCAAAGTAAAACTTTTAATTTGACATTGTTACAAAGTGCACTTTTTAACAACAACAAGAAGCATAGCCATGAAAGTACCTCTCTTAGACTTAAGTGGCCTTTTATTTCATTAATATTGTATTATCAGTAAGCACAGCTGATGATTTGTAATACACTACAAGTGCACATTCAATACAGTTAAGCACACTTCTTTGTCGCTAGGGTAGATTTTTTACATTTTGTGAAAAAAGTGCTTCCTTGTGCAAAACACATCACCACGATATTACTGTAAGATGCAGAGCATTGCTATGTGGATGCTAAAGAGCAATTTTTAGTGCATTTTTTGCGTGGCCGTATCAAAAGAGAGTGTGTTCTGAGTGATGTTCTACCATCTGACCCCACTGTGGCCCATGCGGCTGACAGCAGAAACAGAGTACTGAAAAACAAGAACAGACACATGGTTCTCTCCTGTCACCCTCTGACTGCTTTTGTAAGCAACGAGTTCTATTTGTTTACATCTTTCTGGACGAAAAATTATTGAAAAATAAACCAGAGAAACCCAAAACCGCCAAAAAAGGAATGAGAAACCTTTCGAATCCACAGCTACAGTCCATGAACTTTTCAGTCTTTCTTTATACCTCTAAGATCCTTTCGCCTTCCCTTTAAATTCTCCATTAAAATGTTGAAATCACACTGATTTGTCTTCTAGAATGTCATGGAAAAGTTTATTTATTTCAGTAATTCGACTCAAATTGTGAAACTCATGTATTAAATAAATTCAATGCACACAGACTGAAGTAGTTTAAGTCTTTGGTTCTTTTAATTGTAATGATTTTGGCTCACATTTAACAAAAACCCACCAATTCACTATCTCAACAAATTAGAATACTTCATAAGACCAATAAAAAAAAAATGTTAGTGAATTGTTGGCCTTCTGGAAAGTATGTTCATTTACTGTACATGTACTCGACACCAGCAAATGACATTGCACCCCAAATCGTCACAGACTGTGGAAACTTAACACTGGACTTCAAGCAACTTGGGCTATGAGCTTCTCCACCCTTCCTCCAGACTCTAGGACCTTGGTTTCCAAATGAAATACAAAACTTGCTCTCATCTGAAAAGAGGACTTTGGACCACTGGGCAACAGTCCAGTTCTTCTTCTCCTTAGCCCAGGTAAGACGCCTCTGACTTTGTCTGTGGTTCAGGAGTGGCTTAACAAGAGGAATACGACAACTGTAGCCAAATTCCTTGACACGTCTGTGTGTGGTGGCTCTTGATGCCTTGACCCCAGCCTCAGTCCATTCCTTTTGATCATCACAGGGACTGTGATCAGTCCGCTATTGTTTCACCGCCAGAGTAGATGTAGACAAGAATGACTCTTAAGCGATTGAGGTGTTCTGTTGTTGGATGTAATAATGAACATAACAGTCGACATCTGAGCCGCTGAAGACACAGTGGATTACGTTTGTTTTTGAAGGGAATGCACCCCCGATTTCCCTAAATATGTCTATGTTCGCGCGAATCATTCGTGATCCAGCTTCACCTACAGAAGAAGTGAGTATAAGGTATATTTTTTATTGAATTTTTGCAAATCACCTTTCCTAATAATGTGCTAACTAGCAAGTTTCACGATGAATGCAGCTAAAGTAAACAGTCCCTCAGAGAGCAGCTCGGAAGAGGGGAGCGGGGTCAGCAGAGCTCATTAACATTTAAAGGAAAATGCTACAAAACGGCTTGCTCTGAAAAGAGCTGTTTTTGACAGGGTACAAAAGGTGTTTTTTACACTACCATTGATAAATTTTAACCAAACTATGTTACAGACTTTTCATTAAGACCCTAAAGAATCATATCAACTTGTGGAAAATGGGCATCCGATGACCCCTTTAAAATCAATTTCTCTGTGAAGAAAATGCATGGGATTTTACTTCAGGAAGCTGACTCTTGCCCTCTAGTCCTCCACTTTTCACTCACGCCTCTCTGTTACTCTATTTCATTTATGCCACTTTCCTCTGCTTTTCATTATATCTCTCTCTCTCCTTTGTTTCAAATCACCTAGTCCTAATTCTCACTAATGAGTTCCACATGTTTTATTATTGGATCATTTGTTAAATGAGGTAGAGAAGATAGAAAGGACAGCATGAAAGTGGTTTCCATCTAGAACAGAAATAAGAGAGGAAAGAGAAGAGAGAAAACAACGAAACGAGTGACCCACTAACACTGACAGATGCTCTTTGACAGATTGTGGCTAAAGCCACAGGGAAGCAGATCACTCTCTCTTTATGTCCCATTCTTGCTCCTACATGCGTTATTCCCTCGATTTTCTCTCTCTCTGGTCATATCTGTCTGTCCTTACAAGACCCCTCATGTCTCATCTGTCAGAGTGAATCTCAGGAAACCTGTCAAGAACATGCCAGGGTTATATGTCACACCAAATCAAGAGAAAAAAAGTAAAAAATACATTTTGTATAAAAAAAAATAAAGCCATTTCTTTTGCTTTGTGAAATAATTTTCAAGACATTTATGCACAAATTTCATTACTATAATGCAAAACGTATTGTGACGTATTTATACATCATGCCAGAGTTTGGTGTATTTCCTTTAATTTATGGTGATTTAATTTGAAAAATGATTGTATTTCAGTAATGAGAACCAAACTGAGAATTTAAAGGTGGGGTAAGCGATTTTTCAAAAACACTTTAGAAAACTGATTCGGGCCGACTAGCAAAACAAACTTGTAGCCAATCAGCAGTAAGGGGCGTGTCTACTCATGATTTGGAGGAGAGAGCTTTCAGTGCACAGGACGGACATTAGCGAGCCGAGCGACAAAAAGATAGAGATGGCGGATAAAAAACAAAGAGGAAAAAGTCTGCGGAACAAAAGAAGGCTTAAAGTGAGGCATCTTCTTCTTCTTCTTGCTTTACGGCGGATCGCAGACTTATAAGTGCATTACCGCCACCTATCTCTCAAATGGACTATTGACACTCCTAATTGAGATTGTAGATAGAGTGTCAATGGTCCATTTGAGAGATAGGTGGTATAATGCACTTATAAGTCTGCGATC